ACGAAATTTACTATCTATAGAACCTTATTAGAACCTATTATGACTTATGGGGCAGAAGTTTGGCAGATCACAAAAAAAGATAAAAAAGAATAGAAGCAATAGAAATGGATTTTTTTAGGAGAGCGTGTAGGAAGAAGGACAAATACTGTATATTCTTGTGTAAACAGAATTGAAACGAGACAACTAGTGTGGTATGATCACGTGAAGCGAAGGAATGAAGATAGATGGCCAAAAAAAGTTAAAAAAAACATTCTACACAGAGTCAGTTTATTCATTATCCACGAAAGGTTGCAATGTCATAGATCCAATGTATTTTTTGTTGAATAAGATATTGTCAGTATTGAAGATTTGCTTTTCAATGTGATATAAAATTTTGATTTTGATCGAATTATTTTTAGTTTAAATATGGTATATGAAAATTTATATGAGAAACAAAGAAAAATATATTTAAATAAATTTAATATTTTTTTAGTACAAAATAATAATTGTAGTTACTGTTTTGTACTAAAGTTTTCATTAAAGTATTGATAGTAGAAGTCATAGGGAACTTTGGGTTTATATTTAGGATTGATAAAACTTTCTGGTTCGTAAAGTTTCAAATAAAGTTGATGCGTCTTCTTTAACTTTAGATCTGGAGATAAATAGAATCGACAGGATTTGTTTCTAGCCTTGAAAAGCTCTGAATGTGCATGTTCACATTTTTGAATGTTTCGTTAGATTTTCGGATAAGTCTATTTGTATGCTTTCCTTTGCTACTAGGTGGCGCTGCAATATCTCTGTCACAAAAAGTTTGAGGAATGAGATCTACACGTTTCCTTGATATGCCGTGGATTGAACCAAAAGCATGTCTAAAAACTCCTTTGGATAGCTTACCCAGCTTTAAAAAGTATTTATGGGAACAAGTGGGGTTTTGCATATATTAGTCTTTTTTCGAGTTCTTTGAATAGTAGTAGTTTGAATGAACCCTCCCAAAGGGGTAGTTTCCTAATTTTTGACGCCTATTTTGTTAAACTTTTGTAAGACAACTTTTCTTGTTTCTTCGTCGACATTCTGAAAACACTTGTACCTGCAGTTGCAGTTCGATTCAGTTGATCTCGGTCCCTTCTATTCCTTTCCAGGTCGTACACATTTTCTCTTCTGCGATATTAATTTTCCAGAGAGTGGGGTTGGCACTTTTTCTATTTTTTGTTACAGGAACAACTGGGGTCTCTGTCGTGGGCTCTATGTTGACAACAAGTTCAATGTGTTGTTTTTTGACGAGGTACATTTCTTCTTTGGATGCTTCCTCCTAGCTGAAGGTTCTGCGACATCATTATTAACACAACTTTCATCAGAGCTTATAGGTTCATAGTCTGACTCACTAGCGGTAAACAGATCTGACTCGGTTTCACTCATTTTTATACAATGGTAAATTTTGAATCGAACAGCATGAAAATGCACGCCACGCAGTAATGATAGCGACTAACAAGTCAAAACAAATCAGCTGCCCTATCGGCCCAGCGCAAGAGAAAATGACCTTGCATTCCGCGAAAATAACTGAACATTCACAATAGTTTGGTGTAAAAAGGAGGCAGCTCCGAAGGTGCACCCTTATTGCACCAATTGAGTGAGGAAGCAGATCCATAAAGACGTCTTATTTCTTTATTTATTATCGCATCTGCATCGTTCTTATACCAGTAAATCCGCCAATTTTTTTAATTATGTCATATGTTTTCACCCAAAACGGTCTAAATATGGAGCTGCATCCTTCTTGCAGCAAACTCCTCATACGTACTTTAAGCATATATATGTCTTCTACACTCTATACATATAGTATAGTCTATAATCAGTAAAGTACTCAACTACGTTAGCGTGAAGCAAAATAAATGCAGAGCTAATAAAAAACTGAGTTATGATTTATCTAAAATTTTACATTTTATTTTTAAATATTTATTTTGAATTGACATTCGTTTTTAACAGCAACTTTTTTCAGTGCATGACTCACTCATGGTATCTTCCTTGCGACTTTCACTACTTTATAATTGCCATCTTTTTGGTTATTATTATTAAGAAAAATAAAAGGTTCGGTCTAGGTGCACTTCTAGCGTTTACAGTTACTTCATTAGGTATGTATAGCATGCATTTATATTAGTTATAGTATAGTATATAGGGTCCATTATTATTATACTTATATTTAAGGAGCACTTAGGAAATCTGACAAAAATGCTTTGTAATGCCTTTTAAATACTTAATCTTGTTCAAGACGAATTTTGACAATAGTAAAGCGTGGTGCACTAGATTGGTGGTCTATTTATCTTTTTTTAGCACCTAGCATAATAAACGAAACTCCTTCCTCCAGCGTTTCATTACTCTCACCTATATGAATTTGGTAGATCACCTTCGTATGACAGACAAAGTGGTCTATTCTTAATACATATGGCTATAGGGATTATAGCCTCGGTATCGTATGAGCGCACTACAGTGTCTGACTAAATTTGTTAATGCATTCGTGGGAATAAATTGGTGATGAAGACAAAAAGACATGGCCCAGAAGAGAACTAAGGAATGAATGAATACGGAATCTTCTAACCCAACAAATAAAAATATAACAGAAACGATCAGAGGTGTGACGGTTCTGAACTTTTTCACTGTTCCAATAGGTCTAATCTCAATCGAGGTCCCACAGGCCAACCTTAGGCACAGTAAGGAAGCTTCGTCTGTTCTTAAAGTTGCGAGAAAAAGGTTCGAAGTCTCCTTGATATAAGAGCTATGGATAAACCAGGGCCCAAATAAGAGATCCATTGGATTTTGGCGAAGACTTTTTTAATTGCTCTAGAAATATTAAACTAGAGAGTGACATAAAAATAAAATTAAAAACAGCGATAGCAAAATCTCCAATAATTAAATTTAAAAGATACTAATGCCGTAGTGAGATTAAGACTCCCTCCTCTAGGTTTAAGATTTCGCATGACAAAATATTAAATATGGCCCATAATAACATACTGATTTGAAATATAGTCTCCCAAATTAAAATATAGCAGATTACCCAAAGTTATAACAAAACATTTTTGTTTAAAAAAATTTGTTTTTAAAAGGTATATTAATAAATTCTCCTGGGAAAGATGGAATAGCTGTGGAAATGCTAAACATTGAGGGGAAAAACTACAGTGGAAGTCCTTTATATACTAATGAACAAAATCTTGTACTATCTAAATTACTCTTGTAATTTATCTTTAATTTTTTTCCAATTGTCCCTGAAAGGTTAACTATTCTTTCTTTGACAGAATCAACGATGCAAATACTATCATTTAAAGATAATTTTTGACTCTCTAGTTTTGTAATAGAGTTTACAATTATGTCAACATTATTATATACAAAATTTGATTTTATGTAGGACCGTTCAATATGAATAGAATTTTCACTAAAAATATTTTGGCATTTCTGAACAGCAATATAACATGAAGGATCAAAATTTGATATAACACTTTTGATATCAATATAATTATTTGCAAGAAATATGCACTATTCAACCACGTCCCTCATCAACACTGATTCCGGTGGCAAAGGGATATCGGGAAAGATTCCCCCTGTATATTTCTACTCGCAATGGTGCTTTTAAAAATACTTTCTTTACATTGTTGATTAAAGTGTTTACATTTGGAAACTCGAGTCTAACTTTTTCTGTCACCCTGTTTAAACCATGAGCTAAGCATATACAATGAATCAAATTCGGAAACAAATCTTAAGACTAGTAACAGCTTTAACATTGTAGGAAGCGGCATCGCTAACTAGTAGCAAAATTTTTTCAGAAGGTACTTGATTTGGTAAAAAGAAATTTGTAAAAGATTCATTAATAAATCGAGCAATTGTTGCATAGTTGGTTTTTTTAAACATTTTACGCCGATTAAATACTACTTGTTGGAGTCATCAGCTGAACTGTTTAAAACTCCAATAATTAAATTCGCGATTTGCCGACCCTTGGCGTCAGTATTCTCGTCGAAGATATCCACAGATATTCATCTCTTACCCGGCTTTTAATACCTTTAATAATGTCTTTGTAAGATGTCCTCACATATTACTTGCGAAGAGTTGAACAAATTGTCAACTTTACAATATGTTTTCAAAAAATTTTGACACACTTTGCTATCCAATTTATACAATGGGATATTGCAACTTACAAAAAAACTGCATACATCTTTTGCAAACATTTCTTGCCCCGTCGATGTGTAACGATTTTGAATAATGTTGTTCTGCAGAAGCTGCTGGTGTGGTTTGAAGTCCTTAGATAGTTTATAGCTTAGATAGCTGTTTTCAGGTGTTGAGAAATTTGGAATTTTTTTTTACATGGAATATGTAATAAAACGGTGGTAAATAGGAGTCTAATGCAATTATATGGACTTAAAATTTTTAAGATAACTTATATTTTTTTTTCTCAAGACTAAAACTACCGTCAATAATTAAACTGTTATATTTGGTAAAGGTATACCGATTTTCTTGCAAAAATTAGACTTGCTACTATATTTTCAAAAAAGAAATTATTTTTATTTTATAAGCACAATATTCACAATCACAAGTTGCTTTGCCAGATGGTAAAGAGAATTTAAAAACGACTTTACTGTATAATACCTAGCTGCATTTTGGCCGTATTCTTCTGATAAATAATTCCTAGATGTGTTTTCCCAAACAATAAAACTTTTAGATTTAGTAGATATTTGTAATAAAATTATTTCGTAGTTACCTTACCTAGTACCTGCTATGAATAATTCTAAGAAACTTTTATCTAAATATGTATAGAAAACCATTTTATTTATATAATATTTTCAAATATGTGGTAATATGCCCTTAATCAAGTAAATATGAATAGCATATGCATTTATAAAGAAACCAACAAATATGCTGCATACATATGCACATGCATTTTGCATATAATCCAGTCTCTAATTATTACTTAAGTATATTTCTAGATTGCTTTTATATTATAGTTATTTATCTAACGTTTATTTTCTTCCTAATTGTTTCAGTTATACCGTTTGCTATAACATTACTATATCAACGACCTGGCCTAATGCAATTTTACCCAGAATTTTTAACAGGACCTAAAACATATCTTGACTTCAAACTCACCTATAGTAAGTCACATACAAGAGCTACTCCGTATTTTGTAGGCATGTTTGCTGGATACATCTATTATCAACTAAAGGGATCTAATAAACATGTATGCAGAGTAAGTAGACATATATATCCACAGTTTCAAGTTTAAGTATATTTAATATGGAAATAATTTTTAATGTAACTGGTAGTTAAAACCATCGACATTTTTTTTATTTAACATTAGTCGCATCAACTACTACTCTGATTTTAACCAGGAGGAGTAAACCAAAAAGACAGATTCACACCCAAGAAAGTTACTAGAGAAGTCACCAAATACATCTTCTTTTTTTGTTGATTATCTCGGCCTTGTGGTAAATAATAAAATAATATTTTGTGCATAATATAATATTCGGGATGTATGTAAAAATAAAAATTTAATAATTTTATTAGTCTTCCAAAATAGTCTCTCCATTTATGTCTTGGTGAGGTTCATGAACAACTACACCATTTTGAATTTCTTTATTTAGTTTTTTAACAATTTTAGCAAAAACTGAATCTATTTTAGATATTTGAGCAAGAAAGTTTTGTTTTGGTCGGCAGCCCAATGTATAAACCATTCTTTGAATAATTTTACCTAAAAAATAACTATATTCATAATATAGAGAATAAATCAATCATCCTATAAACAGTAAGATAAACAATATATAGTTATGCTATGCAATATTTGCTGCAATGAATCTGCTTAGGTATATGTAAAGTAAAAAATATTCTTTTTCTTCCCTTTCCATGTTCTTATATCTGTTGAACCAAAATACTTGACAACATTCCACTAGAGTATACAATTAAAAACTTAAAATTTATTTTTTTAAATAACTTATTTTATGAGATCATTACTAAGTATACTCATCATCAAACATACCAAATATAATATCTTTAAATGAGAACAGTGAAATGTACGTATATGATACTTAAATGAAAATATTTGTACACTGATATGTTTCTAAAAGCATGTAACACAAAGGCTGTTTTACTTATGTCTATAAATAGAAAACCTATTTTGATCAAACAAGAAGGATACTATTACAATCATTTCTCATGTATCTCATTAATTTTAATTACAAAAACTATTTAGTAGTAACAATAATATATCCGATTATAAAAATGAAACCTATAAAATATTTTAGATAATTTTACTATATAATTGTGACTAACCCATATTTACTTACTTCAAATTGATTTGCTTCAAGAATTTACATATTAATGAACGACACACACATATTTTGTAAGATCTGAGCGGTTGTTAATTTCACTTAAAATTTTACTTAAAGTGGGCATTTTATTCTTGAAAAAGAAGCTATGTAAGCCTACCTGTAAGAAGCCTACTATCTGTCGTGCAGATGTTTTAACTCTTTCATCGTAGGTTGCAAGAATAGAAGGTCGACCGTCAATTTTAGGACATCTTACTGTTCCAATCTGCTTATATTTTTTAATCGTTCGGTAAATAGTTGAATTCGTAACATCTAAAATTAGCACATTTCATCTCAAATGTTTGTACATTATCAGTCCCTGGCCTGTATTTTTTGTTGACGGTAGAGCACTATTTAATTCAATTATGGTACAGTTATAGTTGATTGGATGGATTTCTTCTTCGATAAAATCTAAAGGTACCTACTTTTTCTCTAATAAGTTTTGTTTCTAAGAATATTTTTGTATAGTTGTGATCATTGAAATTGTTTTCGAACTGTGTTACTAATATCACATCTATTTCTTTTCTATTAATGATAACTTTATTGTCATGTGCTAAAAATAAAATGGATTGAGTATATTTTATACCTAAAATTTTCCTGATGTTTTCTGGACAAGAAATAGCGATGTTAAACTATTTATACTTGATAAAAATTTGTTCCAAGACTGTGAATGTCAAACTTAGTGGACCTTCCATCATGTAGTATATTTAGATTTTGTGAATTAATTATCTTTTCTATTATTCGACCATTATTCAAAGTAAAATTGTAACCCCATATTTGGTTATGGGAGTTGAAGTCGCCTAACAATATCCGAGGAGTTGGAATTCGATAGATTACTTGTTCTAGTTCTCGTTCATCAATAACTTAATTTGAACCAATATATACATACGGTATGTATATTTTTTGAAGTAGACCTATTTCTATAGTTTGTTTTTCACAACAAAGCAGATGTAGTGTATAAAAATAATCGTTTTTACAATTGGTTTTTTGTATGCTTATAATGGCTGGACTTGTTTCCGATAAAGTGTGTTAAAAAATTCAATTCGGGCATGGAACTCGTTAAAATTCCATTGGGTGGTCGTATTTGATGGAGCCATTATTCTTGGGATGATTCTATTAATATGTCTGATTCACTTTCTAGTGCTTCAGCTATTGATATTTTACTTAAGTTTAATTGTTTCATTAATTGTTTTCTAATGCGTGTACTTAAGTTTTTCGTTCTTTTATTAGTTTTCTTTTTGTCTAGTTAGAGTAGAAGAAGAAGGAGATATTATTTCTGAATAATTTCGTTTTATGATAGTCTGACTTGTTCCAGCGATGTCAATGAGTTCAGGAAATACTAGACTCTTTATGGACGGAGTTTTATCTGGCAATTTTATATTTTTGGTACATTTAGGATGAATAATCTTTGGTTTGGTTAAGGACGAAGAATTGTTGTGAGTTACTTTTGATTAGAATTTTTGTATTTAGTTCAATGTTGTTTTCTGATGTTAGTGTTGATGTGTTTGAACAATTACTTAGCGTTATGTCTATCTGTGTTACAATTTGGACATGCCTGACTTTCATGTTAAAAAAATTTCGTATGTATTAATAAACTTAACCAAAATTGAGGTAGGGATTAAGATATCTAATGAGGTTAAATAGACAATGCGTCTAAAACTTAAAATATGTTTCAAATTTAGATTCAAAGTGCCCATTTTTAGAAAATGTATTCTTCTTCTTTCTTATATGTAGGCTCTAAAGCCTTCTTTAATATTACCCTCCTAAATATTTAAATTACCGCACCATCTTGTTCTTGGTCTGCCAATCTTTCTTCGTCCATTTAGTGACTTATCTCGTGCTATTCGTACTCTTCTATCCTCTGCCACTCTACTAATGTGTGCGTTCCACTTCTGTTTTCGTTTTGTCACCCATCCATTTATGTCTTTTATAATGCATTCTCTTCTTAGGTTTTCGCTTCTCTTCCTATCCAACAGACTTTTCCCTGATATCCGTAGAAGTATTTTCATCTCTGTTGTTTCTAGTAGTCGTCTCGTTTTATATGTGTCAGGTCTTGCCTTCGCCGTGTATGTTAATATAGGTCTAATTGCTACTTTATATATTCTTGTTTTTGTGTCTTGTCTAAGGTGTTTGTTCTTCCAGATTTTGTCATTAGGAGTGCCTACCGCTTTACTTGCTTTTAGGATTTGTTGTCGTACTTCTTCTTCAATATCTCCGTAACTATTTATATCTATTCCCAGAGATCTAAACCTTTTTCCCTGCTTTATTATTCTCTCATCAATTTAGATTTTACATCGTAGTCGATATTTAGATGTTGTCATCCTCCTCTTCTATCCTTTATCCTTCGTAAGGATGTGGTGACGTTATGGTATTTGATGAATGGTCGCTATCCATTCTTCTCTCTTTAGGACGCGGTGTGCTGCTCCAGACAGAGGGTAACCGGTAGCGTACTTTATTTGGTCTGACCATCGGAGTAGCGATCTTCCTTGAGTTCTTTTACCATCTACCTTGCCTTCAACCACCAACCTCTCCATGCCTTCCATTCGTCTGCTAATGTGTCCAAAGTACCTCAATATATTTTTGGGTTGTTGATATATTTTGTTGTTAGATGTTGTCATACATTATGAAAATTTATTAATAAGCAAAAATAGATACTTAATTAAAATAGTTCTTGTTTTATGGTCTAATGTACAAGTAGTATAGTTGTGCACACATTAGATAATATAAGTTTTTGACTTTGCGTTATTAATCTACGAATGGAAAGGACTTCATCATTTACTTTGATTGCTCCATTCGACTCATTCCTTGTCATCTCATTCGAGGTCATCTACACATTCCTTGAAAAAATGTACGCCTGTTTGGTTATTTGTCAAGCAATTAATAGAATTTATTATTAGAGGTTGTTGTTTGGATAAAAATGATGTTGCCTTCTGCTGTTAAATAATTTGTGAATACAACTTTGAGTTTGTAGTGGGTAAATCAGATAATGACCTGATTTTCACAATTAAAATGCTCAATTCTTAAATGCCAGTACTGTATCATATCGATAAATTGCTGATTAGCGACAGGGTTTTCAATTTAGCTTATTTAAAAACTGAGGTTTCGATTTTGTGTGTTAATTCAATACGAAGATTGCAATTTATTGATAATACTAATTTATAATCGTTTTCTTCAGCACATATGATGTACAACACTTTTATCACTTGGATATTGCTAAACTTTTTATTTGTTTATTACCTATATATTTGTGGTATTTAATGATCGATAAGGAGCTCATCTTCGATGAGTGGTCGATTTTCTTGGATATTAAAACTCAATTGTAAAACTTTTTCAGTTTCAACTTCTACTGAAAGTTCAAAAAGTGCCCTTGCGTTTAAACTTGTGCTATTTGAATTGTGTAGACGTTGTGTAGCATTTTCTGAATTTTAAAAATTAATTTTTTTTGCAAAAGGTCGCAGAAAAAACAAACACTAATATGCAAGTTCCAATTTAAAGTTTTTCAGTATATTTAAGTAATATTCTAGCGCCTCTCCTCTTAGAGTGTTTGAATTTAGGCTTTGACATATAATATTTTAAAAAATAAGAACTTATCACTTATCACTTTTGTATTTTTTTCGTCACACAAGGTCCAAATAGTTACTTATAATCTTCTACTATTGTCATTGTTAAGATTTACATTCACTTTCTTTTTGTTAAACGAGCTGTCCTTTAACTGATTGCATAATCTACCACCGTATACGAGAACAAAATAATTGTATTGTATGTTAATAGTAACTGTTCACGTTAAAATCTGCATTTTAGAAATAAAAACAATAGGAAATCAAAACTTGATTATTATTGTATCAATTAGCTGATCACTAATTGCACTCAGCGTAAGCGCAAGGAC